AAATCGGATAAGATTTGACCGAGTTATGGAGGTGGGAAATTATGATCTATGTCTATATACTATTTTTGAGGGTACAATTTTCACATGAATTTCGACCAAAAATCGGGCTGCCAGATTTGGATGCCAAATTGTTCTGGAGGCCAAACCATTTACAAAAAGACAAACCTTTTAAAAATCGGATGAGATTTGACAGAGTGTGAAATTATGATCTATGTCTATATACTATTTTTGAGGGTACAATTTTCACATGAATTTCGACCAAAAATCGGGCTGCCAGATTTGGATGCCAAATTGTTCTGGAGGCCAAACCATTTACAAAAAGACAAACCTTTTAAAAATCGGATGAGATTTGATAGAGTGTGAAATTATGATCTATGTCTATATACTATTTTTGAGGGTACAATTTTCACATGAATTTCGACCAAAAATCGGGTTGCCGGATTTGGATGCCAAATGGTTATAGAGGCCAAACCATTTACAAAAAGACAAACCTTTTGAAAATCGGATAAGATTTGACCGAGTTATGGAGGTGGGAAATTATGATCTATGTCTATATACTATTTTTGAGGGTACAATTTTCACATGAATTTCGACCAAAAATCGGGTTGCCGGATTTGGATGCCAAATTGTTCTGGAGGCCAAACCATTTACAAAAAGACAAACCTTTTGAAAATCGGATGAGATTTGACAGAGTTATGGAGGTGGGAAATAATGATCTATGTCTATATACTATTTTTGAGGGTACAATTTTCACATGAATTTCGACCAAAAATCGGGATGCCAGATTTGGATGCCAAATTGTTATAGAGGCCAAACCATTTACAAAAAGACAAACCTTTTGAAAATCGGATAAGATTTGACCGAGTTATGGAGGTGGGAAATTATGATCTATGTCTATATACTATTTTTGAGGGTACAATTTTCACATGAATTTCGACCAAAAATCGGGCTGCCAGATTTGGATGCCAAATTGGTCTGGAGGCCAAACCATTTACAAAAAGACAAACCTTTTGAAAATCGGATAAGATTTGACCGAGTTATAGGGGTGGCAATTTTGACCTATGTCTATATACTATTTTTGAGGGTACAATTTTCACATGAATTTCGACCAAAAATCGGGTTGCCGGATTTGGATGCCAAATTGTTATAGAGGCCAAACCATTTACAAAAAGACAAACCTTTTGAAAATCGGATAAGATTTGACCGAGTTATGGAGGTGGGAAATTATGATCTATGTCTATATACTATTTTTGAGGGTACAATTTTCACATGAATTTCGACCAAAAATCGGGCTGCCAGATTTGGATGCCAAATTGTTATAGAGGCCAAACCATTTACAAAAAGACAAACCTTTTGAAAATCGGATAAGATTTGACCGAGTTATAGGGGTGGCAATTTTGACCTATGTCTATATACTATTTTTGAGGGTACAATTTTCACATGAATTTCGACCAAAAATCGGGTTGCCGGATTTGGATGCCAAATTGTTATAGAGGCCAAACCATTTACAAAAAGACAAACCTTTTGAAAATCGGATAAGATTTGACCGAGTTATAGGGGTGGCAATTTTGACCTATGTCTATATACTATTTTTGAGGGTACAATTTTCACATGAATTTCGACCAAAAATCGGGCTGCCAGATTTGGATGCCAAATTGTTATAGAGGCCAAACCATTTACAAAAAGACAAACCTTTTGAAAATCGGAGGATTTTTGACCGAGTTATAGGGGTGGCAATTTTGACCTATAGGATATTTGATGGTACAATTTTCACATGAGTTTCGACCAGGAATCGGGTTGCCAGATTTGGATGCCAAATTGTTCTGGAGGCCAAACCATTTACAAAAAGACAAACCTTTTGAAAATCGGATGAGATTTGACAGAGTTATGGAGGTGGGAAATAATGATCTATGTCTATATACTATTTTTGAGGGTACAATTTTCACATGAATTTTGACCAGGAATCGGGCTGCCAGATTTGGATGCCAAATTGTTATAGAGGCCAAACCATTTACAAAAAGACAAACCTTTTGAAAATCGGATAAGATTTGACCGAGTTATAGGGGTGGCAATTTTGACCTATGTCTATATACTATTTTTGAGGGTACAATTTTCACATGAATTTCGACCAAAAATCGGGTTGCCGGATTTGGATGCCAAATTGTTATAGAGGCCAAACCATTTACAAAAAGACAAACCTTTTGAAAATCGGAGGATTTTTGACCGGTTTATAGGGGTGGCAATTTTGACCTATGTCTATATAAGATATTTGATGGTACAATTTTCACATGAATTTCGACCAAAAATCGGGATGCCAGATTTGGATGCCAAATTGTTATAGAGGCCAAACCATTTACAAAAAGACAAACCTTTTGAAAATCGGATAAGATTTGACCGAGTTATGGAGGTGGGAAATTATGATCTATGTCTATATACTATTTTTGAGGGTACAATTTTCACATGAATTTCGACCAAAAATCGGGTTGCCGGATTTGGATGCCAAATTGTTCTGGAGGCCAAACCATTACCATAAAGACAAACCTTTTGAAAATCGGAGGATTTTTGACCGGTTTATAGGGGTGGCAATTTTGACCTATGTCTATATAAGATATTTGATGGTACAATTTTCACATGAATTTCGACCAAAAATCGGGATGCCAGATTTGGATGCCAAATTGTTATAGAGGCCAAACCATTTACAAAAAGACAAACCTTTTGAAAATCGGATAAGATTTGACCGAGTTATGGAGGTGGGAAATTATGATCTATGTCTATATACTATTTTTGAGGGTACAATTTTCACATGAATTTCGACCAAAAATCGGGCTGCCAGATTTGGATGCCAAATTGGTCTGGAGGCCAAACCATTTACAAAAAGACAAACCATTTGAAAATCGGATAAGATTTGACAGAGTTATAGGGGTGGCAATTTTGACCTATGTCTATATAGGATATTTGATGGTACAATTTTCACATGAATTTCGACCAAAAATCGGGATGCCAAATTGTTATAGAGGCCAAACCATTTACAAAAAGAAAAACCTTTTGAAAATCGGATAAGATTTGACAGAGTTATGGAGGTGGGAAATTATGATCTATGTCTATATACTATTTTTGAGGGTACAATTTTCACATGAATTTCGACCAAAAATCGGGTTGCCGGATTTGGATGCCAAATTGTTCTGGAGGCCAAACCATTACCATAAAGACAAACCTTTTGAAAATCGGAGGATTTTTGACCGGTTTATAGGGGTGGCAATTTTGACCTATGTCTATATAAGATATTTGATGGTACAATTTTCACATGAATTTCGACCAAAAATCGGGATGCCAGATTTGGATGCCAAATTGTTATAGAGGCCAAACCATTTACAAAAAGACAAACCTTTTGAAAATCGGATAAGATTTGACCGAGTTATGGAGGTGGGAAATTATGATCTATGTCTATATACTATTTTTGAGGGTACAATTTTCACATGAATTTCGACCAAAAATCGGGCTGCCAGATTTGGATGCCAAATTGTTCTGGAGGCCAAACCATTTACAAAAAGACAAACCTTTTGAAAATCGGATGAGATTTGACAGAGTTATGGAGGTGGGAAATAATGATCTATGTCTATATACTATTTTTGAGGGTACAATTTTCACATGAATTTCGACCAGGAATCGGGTTGCCAGAGTTGGATGCCAAATTGCATATATATATATTTTATTTTAGAAGCTATATGTCAAGTTTGGTGACTCTAGCTCTTATTATTTACCAAAATTGCCCAAAAAACAGGATGTCGATATCGATTTTTATCGGAGTAAGTTATCGATTATCGAAAGCAAACTCGATATGCGCGGGAACTAGGAGCATCTACATCTAAAATTTCAAGTCTCTAGCTCTTATAGGTTCTGAGATCCTTGCGTTCATACATACGGACGGACGGACGGACGGACAGACAGACGGACGGACGGACGGACGGACAGGCAGACGGACGGACGGACAGGCAGACGGACGGACGGACGGACAGACAGACTGACATGGCTAGATCGACTCGGCTATTGGTGCTGATAAAGAATATATATACTTTATGGGGTCGGAGATGCTTCCTTCTGCCTGTTACATACATTTGGATTTCGCACAAATACAATATACCCTTACACCCATTTTTAATGGGTTCAGGGTATAAAAACACATAAGCACAACACATATAAAGACAACGCATTATTTATAAAAGAGTACACCTTTCTCTCTCACCTTCCTTCCATCTCTAAAATATAAAATTTCTATGCGGGTTTCAAGAATTCAAGTCATGTTCATAGATTTTGTATTTTTGGTGACTGCAAAATGGTGCAGAAAACAGAGAACAAAACTATTGAAAGGGAGCAAAAGGACGATTCTCTATATTGTTTATGTGATTATATCTTAAGCTGAGAGATATTTTTCTAACTTCCCAAACTTCTAAATCAAATGAAAATAAATATCATTAAAAAAAATGTTAAAACGAAAGATGAATTGTGCTGGCCAGACAATTATATTTTTGGCGACAATTATTCTAAAAATATTTTCGTACATTATATGCAATTACTTTGTGAGAAACAAAAAATGTATATATATATATATCTAAAGCGAACCTGTGCTTAGATTAAGTGGTCCCATAAATTGCCTTTATGCTGCATAGCATAATAGCATTAAAAGCGATGAATAATTTTACATTCTGTTCCTCCCCTTGCTCGAGATATTAGTCAGGCACGTACTATATAAATCTCGCATCATTGGCCATAAAATTTATGCACGTCGCGTTTAGCTCATTAAAATCAAGAAGACAACAATACAGCAATAACAATAACTATAACGATGACAAGGACAACGCATCCATAGCGACAAGAGAAACCGGATTTTGTAGGGGCTTTCCAGGTTTCATATGTTTTGTATTTTTCGTGTATTTAACAATCTGGATTTTCAGTACAAAAAGTAAAAGCTAACTAGACGTAAAAATCACATTCTGCTCTGATTATCGGCCAAAGAAGCCGCCGCCACCGCCATAGCCGCCATTATAATAATTATTGGAATACTGAGACTGCGACTGACTATAGTGGCCTCCATATGATCCACCGTAGTTGTTGTAGGCACCACCTCCTGGATAGTAACCGCCGCCACCACCGCCGTAGTAAGGCTTGTGTCCATATCCACTGTAACCGCCGCCTGGATAATAACCACCTCCGAAGCCATGACCGCCGCCATGACCGCCGCCATGATGATAGCCACCACTTGGATAATAGCCACCACCGGGATAGTAGGAGCCACCTCCATTGTAGTAATCACCGCCGCCACCACCGCCGAAACCACTATAGAGTCCCGCATTTATGCCCACGCCTGCGCTCAGTCCAACGCTGCCGCCAAAGCCACCGCCGAGCAGTCCAAACGAGCGTCCCTCGCCCTTGATAGGTGCCGGTGCTGCAACTCCATATCCGACAAGCGCCAATACGGTCAACAGCTGTAAGAGAACGACCGATGAGCAAGTGCATCAAGAGGTGAACCCACCAATACGTACACAACACAAGCGCGCCATTCCGAGTGTGAAATAAATCTATGTGGATGTGTCGCCCACCGAATCGGTAACGAAACTAAATTGCAATTGTGAAGTGCTTTGCGCTTATATACCTGCTGTATTTGTATGCCCAATGAACGGCCATAAGAAGCTCAGTACGCGCTACGCATTGCCAAGTAATTCTACGCAAATTGCAGAACCAACAGCGGACCACAACGAAATGGAAACCGAACCAGAACCAGTTAGTGACGAAATCACGGAATACCCCTCGGTAAACAATGCTGACGAGGCATCAGGCCTCAGAATGCGTTAATTTAGTCGATTGTCAAAATATACGTACACACATCATTTCTTGAGGGTTAAGGCAATTGTCGGCCGTCGCTGTAGAAGATCAAGATCACAAAAAACCCAATAAAAATAATCGCTTCACCGATCAAGCATCCGAGTTCACCGAAGATTGAATACCCTTTTAACAGAAGAGCAAAGATATATATTATTTTATATTAGTTTCTGTCCTGTACTCATCACGAATACTTATTGACAAATAAAGTATTAATATTAAATATAAAAAAATATAAAAATGAATTGTCACGACTTAAGTTCGAAATAATAATATAGACAAAGATTATGTGCTTTGTGTAAGAGTATAACAAGCAGCAATAACAATAACAAAAGACTTAGGCAACAAACTTTACACAGAACGTGCAGCGAAGCATGGGCTGAGATGTCGGAAACATCATCAGCGCCTACGACCAGCATTCATTTGGCTCATTAGCACTCGATGTTTGTTTTTTGTATTTGGCGGCTGTTGCTCCAGCGATCCGATTTGTGTACTCATCTATATGTTAGCTAGTATAATGTAAGGCACGCCTTCACTTTCATTGGCGGTTTATTCACCTTTGCAAGATTACTCGGCTGACGTCAGAGAAAACCACCCGCATAATTATAAGGAAGTTATTTTTATAGAGAATAGAATACTCATGGATAATCTAATTAAACTTGAAATCAGACGAATGGCATGAGAAAATATAGACATCAAGTGCAAATATCATTAAATAAATTTTTAGAATAATTATATTAATTTTGCAACCAAGTGTGACAAAAATTTACATTCGTGCTTATAATTCCCAACTAATTTAAGCCAAGGCTTGATACGTTATTTAGAAAGTAAGCAGGGAAGCCTACCCTTTGTGACGCCCTTAATTGTACCTTAAAATTGAAATAGTTGAACAGGTTTTACAGTTGTGTTCTTTTATATTTATTTAGGTTTGCAAATTGGCATTTCCCAGTTTGTTTTTTGCCCACCTTGAGCTTTATATTATCATGTTATTATTGAAGTACATTTAATTATATGCCTAGAGCATATTCTATATATTGGTAATTACTGATGCTTACTTCCGTTTAAGTTTCACATGATAAAAAGAAAAACTCCATAGCATTTGTCACCAAGTAGCCAACTAAGCGCCAGCTATGAAGGTTCGTGGAGCAAGTTCTTTAAGCCTTAAGTACCCGACTAATCCTTCTTACTCTATTTAAATATAGATTGCTTTATTTTACAATGCGCTGTTCTGCCTAGGTCTCTGCTCTTTGGCTGCACCACAGTGGCCAGGAATTGGGTCCTCGGGTTACGGCTTTGCACCCTGGGCAGGATATGGAAACTACGGCTCATCCAGTGCCAGCGTCGCAGCCAGCAGCAGCAGCAGCGGCTTTCAGGGCTATGGTACGCAAGGATATGGTTATGGCTGGCCAGGCTATGGCTACGGGTACGGAAACTACGGCGGAGGCTACCAGCAGCAGTACAATCAGTATCAGTACAGTGGGTACAATAACTACGGTTCTGGAAATGGTCTTGGCTATCCGTTCGGCTATGGCAGATAAGTCAGTAAATAAATGGATATGCATATGAATGTAAATGTTTGCATACGTTAAGCTTTTAACTGCTGGAAATTTCAGTTTGGATTTTGTTAGATTTCTTTTTTGTTGGACTTTGTTTTTTCTTTTTTGGAGGTCAATAAAACGAAAATACCCAAGCATGTACGAGCATACGATGATTCATTTGATTCGCTTAGTGAAATAGACCTCAATATATATGAGCATGGCACAGTCCCCCAATCTGTTTGTATCGTTATGAAATACCTGTTTTAGTTAAAGGAAGTAGTTTTCTCTTAAAAAGCGTTTCCTAGCAGTACACTTCACGTAGTGCTAATTTTCGAAAACTTGACAAATATATTTGCTCTTCAATTCCTTTTAAATTTATCAATTAACATATTCGAAATCACGTGATGAACAAAATCTAGTCAAAAATTGAATAACTACATCACAACATAATTAGGCTTTGGGCTTTTATATTTGTTCTTATATTTATTCCCTGAGCTAAGCTTCAACTTAAGGTTTTTAAATTATTTATTAAATTTTAAAAATCTAATAACATGGCATATTAGACGTAAATTCCCAAACTCAGCTTATTTCATGACATAGTAATTGTACCCGTTGCAAGGGTATAAAACCTTAAATTAAGAACGCCTCTTTGGAACTGGAAATACTCTAAATGGGCCTGTTTCGGCTGACCATTCATAATTTTCAGCCGTTATTAGCACTTGCCAACATATACGCTTGTTTCCATCAGTTGACTTTACACTGTTTTCATATATGTTCCATTTTTTTTTCTTTTTTGCTCCTATTCATTTTGAAAACCAGAAATTTTCAGGGTCAATTTGTGTGCATACAGCAAAGATGCCCACATATTAAATAAAAGCTGAAGTCCACAGCAACAAAAACAACAATGAAGACAAACAAGATCTCGTCGCGAGGCGAGATTGCATAAGGGCGACAATAACCGCGCAGAAAACGCGACAGCGACATAAAAACTGATCGCTCACAACGCAGCAGCTTCAATTGCACAGAAATCGTGGTCCATGCAAGCGATAGAGATTTGGACTTGAAGGCTTACAAGACAACAAGTGAAACAACAACAATATAATTAACGAGGCCATAAAGTTAAATATTCAACCAATTTAAATCAATTAAACAACTGTAACTTCGTGTAAAATGCAAATCATTGTGAGTAAAAACTTGTGTTCAAAACTAAATTTGTAAAAAGTACGCATTTTGTATAATAGCATAAACCAAATATGGTCTTATCCAATGTTAAATAACAAACAATTTTTAAATTGTTTTTGCGCTTTTTAAATTGTTAAGTTGCAACTCAACAAATTTTTTTTTAAGAATTTGTTAAAAATTTAAATGTGTTTAGTGAAGATACATATTTTTTCAACTAATGAAAACATTTAAAATCTATTTTATTTTTTAAATATTATTTTTATTTTATATTAATTATAATTTACAGCGTTCTTCACATCGGTTGGTCCTACTGTTCGGCATATGTTTGATGTGCCTGCTCCAAGGTGCCACAGCCGGTAAAGTGAAGCTCTTTGCATTTAAGGGTCCGCATGCCGGATTTGTTGGATTGAAAGTACGAACTCCAAAGTTGCTAGGACTTAAGCATGGACTGGTGGGACATAGTGGCGGATTCGGTGGCGGCTTTGGTGGTGGCTTCGGTGGTTCAGTAGGCGTCGGCGGAGGCTTCGGCGGTGGCCACAGTAGCGGCTATGAGCATCACGAGGAATATCATCACGAGAGCCACTACAGCAGCGGGGGAAGCTATGGAGGTGGCAGTTTCGGAGGCGGCTTGTGGGGAAAATAAGTAAAATGTTCCTTAATAGCCGAAGTTAGACTTTAAACAAATTATCTTTATTAGCATCATAATGATTGTTATGCTTATTACATCCTCTCCATTAGAATTATGTTGTTATTCAGTTCTAAGCTCACTCTCATTTGCGTACAAAAATAAAATGTATAAATTAAGAATTGCATACTTAGGAAATAATATGGGAGATATCCCACATTTTGATGTTCATTAAAATTTGTAAGTAAATATCTAAAAATCTAAATTTACCCCTCCCTTACTCATTCTCTCTCTTTCTGTCTTTCTCTGCCTCTTTCTTTCTCTCGCACTCTCTTTAATCCACCCTCAATGATGAAAAATAATAGTTATAACTTATAGGCCTTAACCGCCTGTTACTCGTTATATAGATGGCGTGATATATTTTTTCTATTTATTTCGTTTAAAACAAATGAACAATAGATGGCGGCTTCTAATAGCAGCTCTTGTAAGAAATAAGATGGTCCTATATCATAAGTTTCCGTAGTGTAGTGGTTATCACGTGTGCTTCACACGCACAAGGTCCCCGGTTCGAACCCGGGCGGGAACAATCAGTAATATTTTTTGATACAAAATATATTTTTTCATTCGCTACAAGCCAAATATATTTGATTATTTTTGTTATTAAATATGTATTCACATTATATTTTAAATATCATGTAACTAAAAGTAAAGTTAGAATAAATAATGTTCTAAAAGTTATGATAAAAACACTATCATCTATATAACATTAAATTTCTGAATTGCATGCTAACGTCTTCTGAAGCCTCCTCCAAAGCCACCAAAGCCACCGCCGTAAGCTCCACCACTGTATGATGAGAAACTTTCATATCCTCCATACCCACCGTAACCACCAAATCCACCATAACCGCCAAATCCACCGCCACCTAATCCTCCTTTCCAGCCGTGTTTGAATGGTCGTGCAACTGGGTATGGAACTGGCACCGGTTGGGGCACTGCAACTGGAACGGGCACTGGCTGAGCCACTGGAATTGGCTGAGGCACAGGAATCGGTTGGGCAACAGGATAGGGTACTGCATAGCCCCCGCCAAAGCCTCCGCCAAACTTTTGTCCTCCAAAACCATGTGCCTGGCTAGATTTTAGCGTCAGGCACAGCAGCACCAGCGCCGAGAGAATTCTCTAAAAATGCGCGTTGTATTTGGGAATTTTTCAATATTGACTTTGGAACTCACTGTGTTTGGTATCATGATGTGGACAACTTCTAATCATCAAGAGATACGAGTTGTCACTTTTATAGCGTTTTCTGAGACTTCCTGTACTTCCTTTTCTCGACGAGTTCAAAGAACTCTGAAACTAACGTTAGACGAGTAGAACCAGTTTTATTTTTTCGTCAAGCCTTAATCTTAAATATTAATGCGAATTTTTAGTAGCAGCAACTAATGCGAGAAAATAACAAATCGTGTGAAAGACATTGATAGCGTTCAAATCGTGGGTTTAAGGTCGCCGCACAGTTCCACAGTTCCGGGCCTACGTGGGCGTTTGTTCTAAGATCTTGTTATAAAAACTGAAGCTTCTGGCATTCAGACAAACAGTCAAGTGAGAGACAATATACAAAGATGTTTAAGATTAGCTGTACCGTAAGTAAATCGATTTTGATCAAACTCCAGCATCTTCTCATAATTTATTTCAACAGTTGCTGGTGATAGTGCTCCTAGGCAGTTGCTATGCACAATACCAATACCCACAGCAACGTCCAGATGCGGGTGGTGCTGCCGGTTCTATCTCTGCTTCACCTGGTTCACCTGGCGGAGTTGACAATCGCATCATAGGATTAGGCGGACTGCTTGGAGGTGGCGGTGGAGGTGGCGGACTGCTTGGCGGCGGCGGTGGAGGTGGCTTGTTTGGCAATCTCTTGGGTGGTCTGCTAGGTGGTGGACGTCAACCTTTGGGACAAGCATATCCATCACCCGTGCCTTCATATGGAGGCGGTTACCCAGGATATGGTTATGGTGGTGCTCTTGGTCCTGGCTACGCGGGCGGCTTCCCCGGCAACAATTTCGGTGGCGGCTTTGGTCCTGGTTACGGCAACTACTATGGTTGAACCGTTTATTTGTTGGATGTGCCATAGTCCACTGAAGTATTATTCAAATGATTATTTTAACTATGTTTTCGGTTTATATATATAAGTTTGTTGACCATTTAAATACAAAGCACATAAAATGCAAAGCTAAATGCGTGTCGGTTGTTTACAATTAGGCAGCATGAACTACAGATGGGGATGTAGCTCAGATGGTAGAGCGCTCGCTTAGCATGTGAGAGGTACGGGGATCGATGCCCCGCATCTCCAAGGTTTCTGGAATATATTTTGCCTTGAGCAATACTTATTTTTTATACCTTGTACCAAACATATACAAGTAATGAAGGAATATGGTATAATATTGTAACGTGCATTTTAAATCTTGTGCGATATATGTATTTATATAATTTCGTACAGCATGTATGTACATATTCCTTACTTTCACAGATACTAGAGCACTAGACAAAAAATTGGTAAATTCTTAAACATCATAAGCAAGTAAAGTTTGCGTTTCGTTTAGATTCATTCGGTTGACGACTAAAAACTGTTTAAATAACAATTTTATTAATATACAGAAATAAAATTTCAACAACATATGTATTTCTCCTAAGCATTTCAGAATTATCGAACATGTGTTTTATGTGAATTGAAATAAACATATATATATGCTTACCCGTACCAAAGACAATATAAACAGTTTCTTTGCCCGTACATTGTTTAAGCTTTTATGTAATTACACATGTAAAGGGGAATACATTTAGAGTTAAAATATATTTAATTGTATATCTTTATTTTTAAATTTCTCAAGCCATTTTGATTATTTACAAATTATTATTATTTAACCTAAATATATCTTCATGATATGAGAACAAAACTGTTCACGGCGCCTCATCCGTCATGAGGCTCAATGGTCTAGGGGTATGATTCTCGCTTTGGGTGCGAGAGGTCCCGGGTTCAAATCCCGGTTGAGCCCACTCTGATATTTTTTGTTTGCTTCGATTTTATTTATTATCCATATAATCCTACTGTTAGTAAAATGTAAATTTAACACGCCACACACAGCTAATATGCATATAAATTATAAATTTTATATTAAAGTGTTTCATAAACAATTTAACAATTTGAGCAAATCATCTGTGAGTTTAAAAAATAGTACTATTAAATTATATTATTGTATATTAGGAGAATTGAAAAAAAAATATATATTTAAAAAAATAGTATAAGAAAAAGTACATTGGAGATGCGGGGCATCGATCCCCGTACCTCTCACATGCTAAGCGAGCGCTCTACCATCTGAGCTACATCCCCGTTGAAAGTGTACACAGCCATTGAGCGTTTTGTCAGTCGGGTTACTATTTGCTAATATTGTGTCCATTTTATGGCATTTTTATACATTATCAAGGTTGATATTGAAATAGTTTTTTATACACACACTTCTTAAATTATGGGCATCTTTAAAAGCCTTAAAATGTTAATTAGCTATTTTTAAAGTAATAATCTATCAGTTCCAACATAAAACATATTCATCACATTGGCTGCCATTCTTTGGTCGGCTGCTTCAAACTCGATAAGAAGTTGACGTCGTTGGCTCGACAACTTGAATAAACTTATGCATTTAATTTCCGTTTCCGGTCAGTGAAAGTTGTCCAAAAGAAAGCAACAACAACACCTGCCAACAGATGGACCTCGGACCTGGACAACACACAACTCGTTCCAGTTTCGTGCTCCATTGTTGTCATAGCACAAACACAAATAAACACGCGGACAATTTCATATGGGGAACAGAAACGAAAGGCAAAGAGAGAGAACTGGAGCCACTGCTGCTGCTGCTGGATATGGATGCGATGTAGCTGTGGTCCCGTTCCGATCCCGCTGACCATCAGCCGTTACTATCTGCACTTTCACACTTGTGTTTATACAACTGTCGCTCGCTGGCGTATTTGTTTGCCCGCTCCAGAAGAGCCACGCCCTTCCTGGCAAGCTCTATTATTATTTTCACAAGTTATATAAAAATAATAACAGAAACGGACTGGGCTACGAGCTAACCGAAGCCGGGCGAGCCGTCCATGGCCATCCATTATGCTCTCGGGCATTTATTTGCCAAACAATTCAGCAGCGCGTTGGGTTTACGTCTGCTCCTTGGGCAACTTCAACCACTTCATCAGCATTCAGCAACCAGCAACCAGCTCCTGCATCGGCATCAGCATCAGCATCGGCATCGGAGCCAGCAATGTCTGGAGCTATCTTATGGTTTATGATGGAATCAAAACAAATGCCAGCGTTTCGGTTGCTCCTGATGAGTTTGTTTATGCAGATTGGTTTGGAGTTTTTCGGCGTTAATGGATAAATGTCCATGTGTGCTTGTGTCCGCTTGTGTGTACTCTGTACACGTACATAAGTAGGTGTATGTAATGTTCCTGCTCCTTATTTTAGCTCACATTTTTACATGTAACCCTTTTTACTGACCTACCAAGACAGGCTATAGCAGTTTGATCATTAAGCTTGTAACATTAGGCAATATTTCGGTTCTCCTTGCAAATCTTTATAAGGCAGGAACAAGGCGTACGCATCATCAGCTGTTCGTTTTTCAGGTTTTAGTAAATTCAGTAAAATTGAATTAAATATATTGCTGTATATCTTCATCTTAAACTCTTGACATAAGCCTTATATAGGTTACTTTCAACCGAACATTTAAATTTCTGCCCACCATAAAGACAAAAAAAAAAAAATCTTTACTTAAGCAAATATTGGTAACATTTCTATATTTTTTATGTACTTGAAAATGCTTTAAAACTTAAATCTCTTGTAAAAATTAAAGTGTGAATACGAAGTTTTAAGCAATAATAATAACGATATGTCTTGAATTGAAAGTCTTGTCGGTCAAATCCATAAACTGCCTTTGCTGAAGTCCAGAGCTAAGAAAGAGTAACTAAAGTTCGTTAACTACGAACTAAGGATTCGTTTCTTGTGAATTTTTGTTTTCCTTTTTTGTTGCACGCTTTTCAATTAAAATTGTATTGTTTTCTTTTACTTTGTCTGCGTTGTTTACTTAGGCGAGGCTGCTTAGCCGAAAGCACATGACGATAAGTTGGGTCCGCAGCCAGGAACCGGAACAGGTCCAGCTCCAAATCCAAAGCTGCTGGCGCTCGCTTGAGGCGGCGGCGTGGCCGGTGGCAGCATTGCTGGTGGCGGCAAGGGCAGCGGTCGCGGCGCAGGCGGGGCCAGCGGTGTGGGCTGCCGAGCAGGCCCAAAGAAGCCGGGACCATAGGGCGGACTGGCCACAGAGCTGCCGGTATTCTGATCGGTCTGATATATATACACATTGCTGTTGCCTTGAGCCTGTTGCTGCTGCTGCTGCTGCTGCTGTAGAGGCGAAACATAGTAGGTAGGATAGAAGCCGCCCGGTTGTGGCCCAATGGCCGCAGGATTGCAGCCATAAGACGGACAATTGAAATAACCATTGAGTGGGAAAGCAGCGCCAGCGTAGAGCGGTGCAGGATTTTGTAAGGCCAACCAGCGATCGCGCCAACGTCGAAACAAGGTGCCCAGAAAAAAGAAAGATCGCCCATCAAAGTTCTCCGGCTGCGCCTCATAATCGTCCTCCGCATCCTGCTGCATGTCCGCAGAGCTGGCGGCCAGCAACAATAGCAACAGCAAAATCTGTTGGAGGATTATTAAGTGAGATGATCTTGCGGCTGAGGAGCCTGTGCTGCCACCTACCAGCGTAGACATTTTGGGCAACTGTGCGCTCTGAAGTCTGGGGATAAACTGCGCCCAACAACTGTTAGATATGCCCCAATGAAATGTTATGTTAGGCAGTCCACCGCCCATGAGATGCCGCCTAATGAGGCCTGTAATTAAATCTCTTGGGCAGCCGTTGCTCTTGTAATCGGTTACAATTGCGCCAGCCAAGCGTGAAATGTTGATGCTTCAACGTTTCAAGATCGTCACAATATATTTTGTGTTGTAACATACTCAAGCCAACGTTTTTGCAATTTACATGCCCCAAACTTCTTCAACCTTTACTTACGATTTCGAAAACCAATAAATAGTGCCTTGACTGCGATAATGGGAAGCTTCCAGCAAAAGAAGCTCAAGTCGAAGCGTGGCCTGAATCATGCATATGGACTGGTTAAGGTAAGCGTAATTATTCCTGCAGTTTTATAAAAC